GACCCTTCACCAAGCTTATGGTAAAAATTTTGTGTGAGACCATAATGATCATGGTTCTCATTTAAGTCTATAAGTCCCGCAAACTTTGGAGCCTCCAGCATTTTCCCCTCAAAGCAACTGCAGAAAAAAAACTATAGGTTCTTTGGCATGAGGATTTGTTAGTCAAACTTTAACAATCCACAATCCTGTAGAAAAAATCATGAACTATCAAAACACAATAAACATAGACAGAAAATAACTAAACCAAAATTAAATTCAAAATGAACACACAGAAGAAAAAGTTCTTCGGTCTTCACTAACAGACAAGATATTGTTTAAAGGAAAATCGTCCTCAACTTTCAGTTCATTTAATTCATTCAAATTAGCTAAATGACTAAATCATTTAAAATCAGTAAATGTAATTAATGAGTATATACTTTAATGGAGCAATAAGGATAGAAATGGCAAAAAGCCTTGTTCGACCAATTTTTTGCTGCTAAGAGCTAAAATGAATTTCTGAGTTAAATCTTCAGAAGCCTGAAACATCTGAAAAATTAACTGAAAGAAGAAGTGAATTTGTTGAGAAGAGAAGAAGAAAAAAACATGCACAGACCCACCCAACTGTAAGAAGTTCCATTTCCCCTTATCTCCCCCAACAGATGAAAGGGTTTAATGGTAATTTACAACAAAAACGCGTTTCCGATTTGAAGCTCAGGCTTGAAAGAAAACAAGTCAGATAACCGAAGCATAAACAGGCAACAACAAAGCTATAGAATTTAGCAACAAAACCAGCTGAAAATTAACACAAAACCCCTAGAAATCAACAAATTAGGTGATCTAAGGATAAAATTACAGAAAATAACCTGGATCGAGTAGACTTGACTTTGATAATTTTGAGATATGGTATGGTATAGGCTCCCAAAACAAGCCGATCGACCGGAAAGCAGTAAAAAGGGAGTCTGAGCAGCAGCAGCGGTAGAGAAACGACGACGTTTGAAGAGATAAAAGCAGAGAGGAGAAGAGAAAAAGGAAGCAAATGAATGAAATGTTAGCTTTTTGCAGTCAGTCTTGTGTGTTTGGTCTCTGGTTTTGTTTTAGTTTTCCAGGACACATTACACTTCTGTCCTTGCATACCCCCATTTGGTGGGGTCTACCTTCTTGACTCTACAACTTATTACTTGGTCCGCGATAGTTTGGTAGAGTGTATTAAAAATAACAACTTTCACATATAGCAAACACAAAAATCATATTTGTATGTTATAGTTATAGTTTGCATAATTGCGCTCCATAACAAACATAAATATGTATATTTCGCTATATATATATATAAAAAAGAAAGCAGTTGTATAATCTGCTTTGGTATAAAGATCAATTATATAATTTGTGTTTGTATAAAGCGAGAAAGACAAAAGAAAACTGGGCAGTGGAAGATCGTATTTGTATAATAATAAGTGTATAGGACGAAAATATATGCATTTGTATTTGTATATACAATTTTCTCTCGTTTTATACAAACACAATGTATACATTTGTGTTTGTATAAAGTGAGCGAGCGAGATTTGGGAGAGGGGAGAGAGGGGAACGAAAATATATGTATATATAAAATTTTCTCTCGTTTTATACAAACACAAACGNNNGTATTTGTATTTGTATATACAATTTTCTCTCGCTTTATACAAACACAAACACATTTTATACAATTTGCGTTTTTTGTATAAAGTGAGAGAGGCGAGTGAGGGAGAGTGGTGAGCGAGATCGGGGAGAGGGGAACGAAAATATATGTATATATACAATTTTCTCTCGCTTTATACAAACACAAACGCATTTTATACACTTGCATTTGTATAAAAAGCTAGAGAGGCGAGGGAGAGAACGAGAGTGGCGGGCGAGATTCACCAAGAGAGAGGCAAAATAACAACAGTTTGCTATGGAGTACAATTAAATCATACTATATTTATAGCATTTAATTTGAATTAATAGTCTGCTATTATATACAATTTTCCCTATTAAAAATAATATTGCATGTAGTGTATTAATAAGACAGATATTAGTTATGTACTTATGTTAACATTATTTCATATATATTGTTTAATTTGATCTATTAAAATAATAAATGTTGCATAACTTTTACTCCATCCGTCTTATTATATGTGGCACTTTTTGAATTTCGAGATTCAAACAAATCTATCTTTAACTGTAAATTTTTCATAGATGTTTTAAATATTTTGAATTATCATTTATTGTGTCTTATAGTACTTTTTACTTATTTACAAATATATAAATTTCAATCAAAAAAATTGAAAAATTCATGCGCAAATTCCCGATCAAACTTAAACTGTTTGACTCCGAAAAATGAAAAATGTTACATAAATTGTGACAAAGGGAGTAATTTTAAAAAATTGTTTACAAGAATATCCTCCACATTATTTAGCTTAGGGAAATGGAAACTGTTTTTTTAAAGGATTTGAGGGATAGTTATGTCATTGATGAAGCTTATGTATGTGTTGAAGTTCCTTGTATTACTAATAAAATATGAATTTTTTTTATGGTATTAGTAATACGTACCTCAATACACAATACTATGTATAAAAATGTGCTAAATAAGGTATTAATAAAATAGAAAGTTAATGCATGCATTATTTTTTTAGTACACTCTATCAAACAACTCTTATTTTAGGGGGCGTTTGGTAATTGGATAAAATTCAACTTAACCAAATATTATTTTTCGTACAACTTATACGACGTTTGGTAGATAGAAAAGAGATAAGTTATTCATGTATAAAATTAATACAATATTTAGTTGATTTAGAAACTTGCATAACTAATACATGTATAAGTTATGAAGAAATCTATGTTTTGTTTTACTCAGAAAAGAAGGTGGAATAACTAATACATGTACAACTAATCATTGCATAACTAATACATGAATAAGATAATACATAGATTCACTCATAACTAATCATTATATTACTAATACATGCATACCTCTAATCAACTACCAAACGATCCATATGTGTTTTTAGTAGGTGTTTGAACATGCGATTTTTGTTTTGTGATTTAAATCAAGAGATGAAATCTCATTTTTTCCCCAAAAAAATGATTTGAAAATTTAATATCATGATTTCACGTTTTTAAGTACAAATTGATTCACGAGCTTATATGTTGTAAAAACAAAATTACTATTTTATATCTACCAACCATTTTATTTCATATGTAAACAAAATTTATAGTTGATATTATTACTATTACCAACCTTTAAATCATTTATATTTGATATAAATACTACTCCCATCAACCAAATTTATATAGCATAATATTAACACTCTTACCATTATTTAAAACATTTATATCTAGAAATACGTGCTCAACCTGAAGAGATTGACCATATAATGTGCAATAATTATACTAAAGAATAATACACTACAATTTATATTCAATTTTACTTTTTTATTATACTAAAGTTCGATCAATAAATATTGTGTTTTTTGAAAATTGTTTTATAATGATCAATTATACTTTCGGAAAAGGGTCATATTTACCTTTGTACTCTTAAAAAAGGTTATATTTATTTTTCGTCATACTTTTTTTTGATATATTTGCATTTGACATCCAACTTTGGCATATATTTACCTTTGGGATCATATTTTAACTTTTATCATCCTACGTAGCACCAATATGTCGCCTATATAGCTATTATATCACAATTAAAAATTTACTTCCTTTTTAATATTTTACCCCACCCACCCAATGTGAGGACCCATTAAGCATAACTCGAGTGCCCATTCTCTCGTTGAGTTACAAATAGTAACAACATTTTCTTTGGTCTATGTTCTACTACAATTCTATTCGTCCCAAATCTTCTTTCTTGTTGAGTGGCATTGAAGAGTAAATATGACCCTTTTCATTATAGTAAACTTTCGCTTATTTAATAAAATTGTATAAAAAGTTGAGACAATTTAATAATTTTCACAATTTATTGAGTTAATCTATATATTTATAAAGAAAAAGATAGTTTAAAAATTGAGGAACTTTCACATATAGCCACTCAAAAATAGCCTAATTACTCTCTATAGCTATAGTTTGATAATTACAATTCGTAGCTACATGTTATAGGGAGGAGAGAGGCGAGCGAGACTGGGAGAGAGAGGAGAGAGACGCGCGAGAGAGGGCAAAGAGTGGGAGAGGTGAATTGTATATGTATATCGGTTAGATAATTGTATATTATACATATGTATTTGTATATATGGAAAGCGAGATTGGGAGAGG